GGGCTCGCATCTCCTCTGCGCACCATGTTCGGGTAATGCAACGCTTTTTTCCTATGGGATGACGCGGGAACCCAACACACGCCACCTACAAATTGGCGATGGCACTCCTGTACGTTTTGAAGGCTTCTGCAAGGACTGACGCATTCACCTCCAAGTACTTCTTAGAAGCCGTGCCCTGGGAATGAGCCAACAGTCTCGAGTGAACCTTCCCGTCGACACACCTTGCAGCATATTGTTATATGCAAGGGTAACACTAATGTGCCGGATGTCGTTGGATCGGAGTGGTGTGTTGAACTTCTCCTTGAACTCTTTAAATATGAATTCAGACTTGCGGATCCTCTCACCGGAAGCGGACAAGAACACCATGTTACTCTTTGGTTCAATGACCTGAGTCAACTTCATAGCCATGGTCAACAGGGGAATTTCCTCGTAACTCAGACACAAATACACCTGATGATGTCCTGCTGTTTTGTGCTTAGACAGTGGTATACATATCATGTCGCCGACCTGCATTTTATTTCCTACATCGTCGACAGTGAGTCCTCCCACATTCCCTGCTCGGTTGCAGCTCGCCACTGTAAGTCGCGCGACCACCGTTCGCATAGCGAGGTTTACAGCCACTAAGTCTTCTGAATTGTTGAGTGCGTACTGTAGGCGTGACTTAGCACTCTCAAGAGCCTCAGGGGAGTTGTACAGTAGATTTATTGATTTCAGGGTTCCCGAGAAATCAGGAAACTTGCTCTGGAGTAGTTCGTGGCGCTCTCTCGCAGCGCGCTGCAGCCTGGGAAGGGTAATCTCTTTGTGTAGTTGCTTCATTCTGTGTTTCGCACGAAGGTACTCCGGTGATCCAGGTTCAGCGGCAGCTTCTAGAAGTACGTACAGCAGCTTGTTGTAACTGATTGTTGCAGTTGTCGTGCAAGCAGCAACATCCCTGCATAAATGGGAACGGAAAATGAGATTGATGATTACGATTATCGGTGCGGACGGGGGGTGTCCCAGGGGGTGTGCATCAAATACCTTATGAATAACTCTAGCAAATTCGTATTTAGTGCTGGTGTCTTTAAATCACTTGTTTCGCCTTGGTGGATCAGAAACAGCACCCAATTCCGACATAGAACGTGGTAAAACTTTGAAGAACCCTCGTTCAATATTTTGCATCCCAGTGAAGAGTGGAGCTGCTTTGTCAGTCTCTGCAGGAGCTTCTGCTGTTCATCAGTCAGCTTGCCGTACTTTCCCTCTAGATAAGTGTGAACATTTGCTTTTTCAAGCTGTGTCTGTAAATACGAATAGTTTTAAATGAAAACCGGTTCAGTGCACACCCTGCCCCTGCGAGGGTATGGGCGGGTTGCATAGTACAAAAAGTGCGCAGCGTCCGTCAGCCACCTGGTACACGAACTTACCTGAGGCTCTGTTTCTGTTTCTGCCAAATCAGAACTCTGAAGTTGTTTAAGAAGGTCATCTAACTCTTCGAGGTGGGGATTCAGCTGCGGAGCCTGTGACATTGTTTCGAGCAAAGTTAACCAACTGCAATATGACCAAGATCGGCAATTTCATTTCACGCGCCGTAGCAAGGAAGTTACCTGTGCCGAAGCAGCGGAGGCTAAATCAGAGACAACGTATCCCATTTTTCGCAGAGTAGGGACTAGACCATACCTTGAAATTGATTCCTCCATCTGATAACGTAAACAGTTGATAGTGAGGTTAGTTTACTGTACCTTAACGTTAAGGATTCATATCTCAACGAAGCATTTAAGTTACTCACAGACTTCACGTTGATCGGGGAAAGGGGCGGTGTACCATCACGGGTTAAATCCATAATGTTTTGCGCCTCTACTTCAGCGTTCTCTGTGGTAATGCGGTGGTCCTGTTGCAGGTGTTTCGCAAGTGTTACGACCGTATAAAAGACATTGAAGCCTGTGCAGTGTTGGCACAGAATGTTAGCCGAAATCCGACTTTTCTTTTTAGAATTGGACGACCTGGTGTCGGCACTTAACGCTCAGAAACACAGAAACACTAGAATAATTTTTCTGACGTTGCTACACACACTGACGTAACGTAGGGTAATGGAGAGCAGAGGAGGGGAAGGGAGGGTGTACCAATAGCCTCGCATTATAAACTTATATTTTCGGTGTGATATATCAGTCAGTACTTAATCTCTTGCTGGATAATCAATCAAATAGTTTCATTTCTTACAGAAATATATCATCTAAAGCTCGCACAAAAAATATAAGCTTATAAGTCAAGGTGGCATGCCTGAGCACCTTTCACTTGTCACTTGTCGGTCACTGGATATACCCCTGGTTCTAACGCCGTCGCGAAAACGCCGCCTACTGCAGGCAGTAGCTATCCGCAACAGGCAGTGCCTCCAGGCAAACCTTACTAAGTAGTAGTTTCGAGAGTTTTCTGGTCGTTTCTGAGCGTTTGGTGATCACCATTTGAACCATGGACCCGCTAGACATTTACATGTGCGATAGTTTTGTGAGGGAGAGGGCAAAAAATCCCCAGATTATCTTAGACATTGTTTTTCTTGCTGACGTGATTGCGGGGAATGATTTTCGAGTCCCACTTCGACGTTGCGTGGAAGCCGACGACGATGAGGTTAAGGCCCATCCCCTCTTTCAACCTGTATTGTATGCACTCAAACGTGCCTGGGCGCAGCTAATGGAGGGACTTGAGGTCCGTCCGGTGGAGGGAGCCGGCCACGGCCTTTTTATCAAAGACCAAAGGTAGGGTTTTGTGACACCGACATCCTTAAAGTTTCAACGGTGCAACGTCTGAGGGTTATGTTTATTTTGCAGGAAGCTCAAACTTTTGGATGGAAAGCTCCCAGTTGGCTTCACATTGAGATTTCCAACTCAAGACCTTGATACCCATCGGGTTGAATTTTCGTGCCAGAAGAACAAGGGCGAGAATTACGTCTGGTTCTTGCACGGCCCAGTTCGGCTGTGCAATGATTCACCCGACTCCAAAGTCAACCTCCAGTATTATGGCCGCCATAATTCTAGCCGCGCGACTTCAAAGAAAGTTTGCCTGGGAGGGTTTCCACAATCCGGCGAAATACTGTGGGATTATTTCCGAGGCGAGGACGACGCCGACAGTTCAAGGACCGAAATGCTCAGCTGGAGTGTGTTTGAGTGTTGCGAGGTAATAGCAGAGTCGTATAGCGATAAGAAAAGGTGCTCATTTGGAGGACCTGCAAAAATATGAACTGTAGTACGTGCAATACTGGAAAATTCTACTTTCAGGTGACCATGGATCCGGCCACACCGACAAACAGCCCTACCAAGGCAGGTGGAGGAGCCAGTCGTGGAATTATGGATACCCCAAGGAAGGTTAACTTCCTACCTGCACAGGCGCCAATGTCAAAACCAGATTTTGTAGTTCTTCCCGTAAGTAACAACGCTCG